GTGCCTCTGATGCCTGCTGAATGTCTAACAAAAAATGTTATCAAGAATGGTCAGCCTTTAGCTAACCATGCCACAAAATCCCAGTATTCGGTTAGGCTTTCTTTGCCCACTTTAGTCTCTTAGAAAGGTCTTTCACAACTTTATTCCTCTGGTATTTAGAAACCTTCCCCTTTCCAGCCAGTATTTATACAGAGCCTGTAGGCACCCATATTTATCATTGCCCATGTTGCACTTTAGTGTAGCCTTTATGAATTTGTAGAGAGCTATCGTGTTCCTTTTCAGACCTCATTTTGCAAAGTTAAGCAAATAATCCCCATTAGTCCGCTCTCTAGTAACCTAGCCACTGTAAGAGATGATCGTTGTCCTTGAAGATACATACTGTTTATCAGGTAATACACATTTATAAAATTCAGCGTAATATGGACAGGTTTACCTCTGTATTTATTCAGAAAGTCTATGACAGAAATGCTCTTTTCTCTCCTTTGGAGCAAGAACTTGTTTATAATATGCTTTTAATTTATTAATATTATGGAGCAGATGAAATGCTGTGTTGGGAGGGAAGATTTTGTTGACATTGAATTCAACATGTAAATTGGTGATTAGATATAGATTAGCATCTTGTACATTTTGATTTTGCTCTGCTGCATGCTGCTGTGTTTCTGTAACCAGTAATTGCCACTGTAATCAGTAATTGCCATGTCTGTGACTCACTTGGCCTATTCCAGCAGTCAGTAAAGTGAGAGGGTGGTATTCAGCAGAAAGGTTGCTGCAGCAGCTTCAGATTCAGTCATTGTGGGTTTTACATTGCTCTACAGCACATCCTTTCCAAGATGCATTTGGGCCAAGTGTTTTAGCAATTCATAAAACATTGGGACTCGCCACTGTTTTCAAGATTAATGACTCTGGAATACAACATAGCCAGAGAGCAAGGGTGAAGTTTAGCTCTAGGTTGCTGTGCAGTGCTCTGCATGCAACCACATAGAGCTACTCTGTCTTTGCCATTGTGTCATAAATCAGGGAAGGGAGAAGCAAATTGAGTTACAGCCCAGAACACACTTCCATTTGGTTTCAAGACTTATGTACAATAGGAATCAAAGCCGCTTTGTGAGCTGAATTCAGAGCTACTCTAATGGCTCCATTTTCCAGATTAGCTCATGACCTAGGAAAACAGGGTATATTAAACGTAAGATTAAATCTAAACTTGCTCTGTGTTTAAAATATATGTTTGATTTGCTCATCTAGTGCTGGTGCTGGAATAGACAGGAAAGCAGCCTCAAGAAAGCTGTGTTGCAGCTAGCTTTTTTTCTACCATTTGCTTCTTATAATCCTGACATTCACTATTGTCATTAATTCAGCAGATATGTTAAATCACAAGATAAATTGCAGCAGTTAATACAATGTATAGAGAAAAGGACAGAATAAGAGCAATAAAAACCATAATGAACATTTCACTTGACAAGCCCCGCAGATATTTTGAGGAGTAAAAAAGATGTTTTGCAGGTTGTCAGGATGACAGCAGGAGGAACAGTGCACTCACTGTTTTTTAATAAAGTGTAGTATGGTTTACTTACATTAATAAATGACACCTTAAAATAAATTATCACCAGCATTTTCCAGGACTGGCCACAGAGCACAAGATGTTGCTGTTGCTTTATAACAGGTATAAAACCAGGTTGATTTCATTTACTTCAGAAGTGCCCTTTATGCAGCTCAATCTCACAAAACATAAACCAGAGCAGTGAAAGACAGATTGTCTAAATATACCAGTGGCTCTGTGTATTTCTGGGACAGTTTCTAATGACAAGAGCCAGTACCTGGACTACCACTGTTCTGAGAGCTGAAAACCCCCATCCTGTGCCGCCTTCCCCATGGCACCAGCAGTTGTACGGCTGCCCAGCAAGTCAGATTAGCTCGCTGCTCTGACTGAAAATTAACTTAATCAAAAGGAAATAATTTTGTTGAGTTCTGTATCAGGTGATTTTGTACTATAGTTTAGAATATATAATGAAGAATATGATTCTAATGATTACAATAGAGTGTGTACACAATACCCAAAACAATGGTTTCTAATTGCCTCATTAACTCACTGTAAACCTTTCCTTCTTTATTTCCTTCCCTTCCCAATTTAGATGTAAAGTATGCCCATGTTATTTATGATTTGAAATGCCCTAAGAATAAAAGTTGACATTTTCCAAAAATCAGTAAAAAGTAAATTTTAATACATTTTTACATGCTTTTTTGGTTTGTATTTTTTAATCTTAAATTTTCATTCCAAGTTCTATTTTAGAATAAAATTAAACATTAAATTTTAGACAGCCTCTTTTTGTTGGAGGGAATTTTGGAGGGAGAAGGTATGTTTATCTACAGCCTTACTTAAAAAAAAGTAACATGGCAATCCAAGATCATTGCCAACACTGTCATTGATTTTACCTCTGTCTTCCTGGGTTAAAGATGGCAGGGCTAAATGAGGCTGTAGAGCAATCTGATATCATTTCAGAAACACAGAAAGTTTGTAAGAGACCAGAAAAAACATGTTCCCAAGTCTGCGGAGCAAAATGTTTCACCATGCTGTTGATAAAGGGCAAAAATAAATCATGGGTTGACTGTATTTTTCATATGGTAACACACAAGTACTTTAATATGAGAAGGGATTTTTTTTTTTCCAAGAATGTTTTATGACCCACAGCATGAGATCTTTAAATTCCAAAATACACTATACATTTAACAGATAAATACCTCCTTTGAGGAACTATTTAATAGGCCATTTGGTACCATGTTGTACCAGTTGATTACCGACATCCAGACAGATTTAATCAACCATGTCTTTTGTCTAGAAAAATCAGTTAGCAAAGAAATATATCAGATTAATCTGGCGTCAGCTCTTTCATTAGACAGGATTCCATTTTCTTCCAGTAACCTCTTCTGTCCTTTATTGTTATTCTTATCTTCCACTCATCTTCTAATAAGTTAACCTTAAAGATTTTACTTGAAAATTTGTGTTGTATTGAAACCAACCTAAGCGGCCAGGTAGTTACCCAAAGAATATTTTTTGTTTTCTTAAGAGAAATTCTTAGGTTTCTTACAATGCTAGCATTTCAGTAGGCCAGTCATAATACATCAAACAATCAGATATTTTATTAAAAAGCTGAACTGCCAGCCCCGCAGTTTCATGTACAGGTTTTCCAGTATTTCCTTCTGTATTCTTCTTGGTATATTTTAGCAATGGTTTCTACAGCATGTTATTAGTCAGCAGTCAGGTGTATCTCAAGACCAATTTTTCAGATGAGAAGAGTTGTTTTCCTGTTGTTCTTTTTTCTTAATCTCTTTATATAATCATAAATTCTCTCTCTACTTAAGAGAGTGTTAAGATTGCTCATCTCAGACAGGTGTTTAAATACTGAGTATTTTTTCCTATACATCTAGTTATGGGTGTCAGTTTACTTTTAACAGAATTTAAGGAGTGGTATAGTGCTCTGGAACAAGATGGAAACAAGCTAGGCACTGTATATGCTTTATGTGTTGCACTCTATTACATTAGGAGATTCTTATTAAGAGTATTGAAATTAACTCTTTGTAGAAAAGTTAATAATAATAAGGAAGGCTGTAAAATTCCATAAAATATATCATCTGAGTGTATTCATATAAAACTATGTCTTTCAGTATTCATATAAACCTATTTCTTTGTATATGTATTCTTATACATGGTGATGGTGTCCCTGGTTGGTTCATGTCACTACCTTCATGCAGATTTGCTAAGAGACTTGAAAGAGGCTTCCTCACCCCTGCATAAGGAATTCTCCCACCCTGTGTAATATGGCCATTTTCCAACATGACTACTCACATGCAAGAGGCTGAAATTCATAGTGTAAGATTATTTGTGAAATTACCGATATTTGTGGAAATAGAAGAGATCAATCAGTCTTCATTTAAATACAGGTATCATTTTGCATTTCCAAGAAGCTGCAGACTCCCACGTACAATACTTATGCTTCTAAGTACAATGCTTATCTCTGTACATTTGTGAATTTCTGCTTTCATAGGATGGAGTTTCAGCATGGGCTCTGCCTACCAGTTCCACAGCTGGCGAGTATTTGTGATTGTCTGCGCACTGCCCTGTGTCTCTTCTGTGGTAGCCCTCACCTTTATGCCAGAAAGCCCACGGTTCTTGCTGGAGGTATAACTTTTCAAATGTTTTTTAGATTCCAGTCAAAATTATTTCTGTGTTTACAGCATAACCTCTATATAACAGGCATTAAAATTGCTCAGTGACTGTAGTGAGTATCTTAATCTGTATGTACGTTTTGTTTAAATGCTATGATCAAACATTTAGGTTGGAAAACATGATGAAGCCTGGATGATACTCAAGCAAATTCATGACACAAACATGCGAGCTCGTGGTCAACCTGAGAAAGTCTTCACAGTGAGTATTGCTTTTAAAGCTTATCACTTAACACATCAGTGAGCTTGCTGACTGGCAAGGTCTGGAGGGCTTAAGCAATCAATATTAATACTTTGCATGACAAAGGCAATCATTTGCACTCGAAATACCTAAATATAAGAATCTAATTCCTACTGAAATTGTTATATATACAGCAGATGTTAAGATATCAGCCTTTGGCTAGCATATTCTTGAGCGTATGAACCCGAAGTGTGATAATTTTCTCTGGGGTACCAAGATACTTAATAGACTCCATCTGTGTTTTATTTATTAAGTTTAATTCACCTTTAATAATAACAGTAGGCACATAGAAGTCCCAATTAGTTGGTTGTTGTGTCTTCAAAGCTTTTGAAGTTTTTTTTTCATTTTTATCAGCTAAAACAATAATTTAAAAAAAATCATTTTCACTTCTGTGAAATAGTAATTTCAGACATTTAATTTTCTCAAAATATTTTGGAAGCTTATCTGTTTATTGACTTGCAGGTCTAATGATAAGGTCATATTCGAAGTATTGATGGGTGGTTTCTATTTGGAGGAGAAATTGGCAATTCAGTTGTGCAACTTTTTTATGGCATCTTTCTTATTTATGAAGAATATACACAACAATTTTGTCTTCCTGGATACAGTAGGACCAAACAGCAGAAGGCATTTTCTTGCTTTGAAATCCAGTCTGCCTTTCCAGCTTGTACTGTGCTGTGGGAGTGCTGGCACTCTGCACCTTCTCAGACCCATGTGTGGGATGTTTTTCCTCTTCCAGAGGCTTTCTTCTTACTTTAATGCACATATAACTCAATTAAGAAATCCTCTCAAAGGTTCTGCATTTGCAGGCAGTCTCATGGAATATAACTTTATTCCATTGAGACTTGCAGTTTATTGCCTTGAGTGTAGTTTACATTGCCTCCATTTAATTTTTTCACAAAGAAGCTCAAGAACTCCTATATTTAGCCTGAAAGAAGGCTGGTTAGAACATCTATCATGTTAAATCCACATTTATTGATATACCAGTGACCTACCCTAATCCCATCTAACCTAATGTTTTATTTCCTGATTTCATTTACGAGTAAAGGGATTTGCCTAACACCATACAACTAGGGCATAGTTTCACAATTAGGTCTTGCTGATCTGAAGTGCTTTCAGAAGAGTATGCCTGCCCCTGGTCACTCTTTTGTTTTTCTTCTGCCAGCATTGATATTCATTGACTGATTGTACAGTCAGCCATAGCACAGACCTTGTCCCCCTACAGTGTTGGTTTAAGCATGACGAAGAAGACAGAAACATGCTGAGACCAAAGGTGGGAGGGAGGATCAGCCACAGTCTCACATTGGTTTGCGGTAATTGTAAACATGTCCTAAGGCAGCCATGGAGAAGAAAACAAAGCACGTGCTTGTTGTTTCCAGTTCTTGTGATCTAACAATTCTTTCTCTCTACAGTTGTTAAAATATGGCACTGAACCTTGTTGAACTCAGCACTTTGTTTATTTTTGTTAATTGGTCGGTCATGAATATGGCATGAATAAGGAAAACCCACAAATTTCTTGCGATTTTTGGCAGTTTCTGCCATGAACATTGGGAAAACTCAGCTGCAGATATCAAGGAGTTGAAGGATTAGAAATACTGTACTGTATGTCAAGGTTACACATGTATGGAAGTCCCCATTTTTGGTTTGCACTAATATGATTAGAAAATGCGTCATCTCCTCATTGCACAATATCAGCTTGTCATCTTATAAAATCCAGAAAGCAAAGAACTTATGCATAATTTGTCTGGGACATCCCTTTAGTCTCTCTTGTTTTTAAAATATTAGTCCTGGATATTGTGACATTTTGTCTCAGTAATGTATTCACATAGCTCTCCTAACCCCCATTGCTTCATCCAGTACCATTCTATGCAATTTCATAGTATGTTTTTTAACGCCACAGCTGATGTAACTTTTCCTCTATTACTACTATAATTTTAGTGTGCTTTCCTTTTATATGGTTTCCTAATTATATTGATGTCATCTTTTCCTAGAAGCTTTTTCATAAGTCATGTTTATTTATGTCACTCATATTACTGAGGATTTTATCTTCAAACCTTTAGAACAGAGAAGGCATCAACTGATGAACAATTGGGTTTAGAGTTAGAAACTCCAGAACTGATGTATTCTAGTTACTGACTGTGGAGGTGGTGGCTCTAAATACTTTTGAAAATCTCTCCTGAGAGCAGTGACGCTAACAGAGATGGTAGTAAGTTGGTAGTATCTTCTATTACGGGACTACCCAAGTTAAACATTTATGTACACACTTAATTACCTTCCTGTGTCCTTAAAATGTACATTCATTAGATCTGCTGGTTTAAATGTTTAAGTACAAAAAATTCTTTGTATCCTTAAAAACAAAATTCTCTCCACTCTTTCATTGCCATGTATTAATTTTTTTATGCGAACATTTTCCTTTGCAGCATGTCTTGATTTTGTAAAATCCAAAATATTGCCTAATTCTAGCCATTTCTTTTAAACAGAAGCTCCATTTTCATTAAAATAGGTATTCTTTATTGGTTTTTCATTCATTCTTCATATACTGACAGCTGAATTTGCATGGTCCAGATGGGCCATTGTCCTGATTCAATAGGACTTTTCTTATGTTAAAGAACCATAAAGGCCAGGGGCTTTTTGTCCCCAGTCACATACAGTGGTCCTTGGATATATAAATGTTTCCCCAACTTCCACAGCTCCGAATGAGCCAGGTGGCCACAGCAGTGAAAAGGCTGCCCCTGAGCCTACAAGAGTGGTACTGGTTTATATAGCGTGATTCAAAACGCATGCCCTTTCTGCCCGGAGGTGTGGCATGTGAGGATGTCTGTATGTACGAGGTCTTAAATAATCTTGGAGGACTCAAGTCAGTCTTTTGTATAGCATGTTTCATAAAACCTGTTTAAGAAAAGCTTAAAATCAGTGGAATGATGCAGACAGGATTATTGCTATTGAAAGAGGCATGATGAGAAGGGTACAGGCTGTTGATATAGTTATGGTCTGGCAAGACAGCTGCAATATTGCAGAAATGAGGGTGGTTATAGCTAAAACTGCTTAGTGGGCTTTTGTTTCTGTTCACGGGATGAGGCTGCTGCTGCATCTTAAAGAGTGTGCATCTGTAAAAGCAGTGGGCTGAAAACTAGAGCTTTACGGTCAGTACTGCTATTCCCTGATGTGCTGTAATCCACTCTGATACATCTGTGGGTGGTGGTGTCCTCATTCTGTTGAGAAGAAACACAAGCTATTGCTATCTTCAGAAACTGCAGCCAAACACTGAACACTGTTGCTCTCTCCCTCCTTATATGTTAGCCCCTTTCCCCATTTTATTTATTTTCTTTGCATTCACTACTTGTCTTCTTTTTAAATAAACTGTGGATGAGTACACCGCCTTTTGTGATATTGCTATGAACCTGGGACCAGAGCAGAAGCCAAAACCAAAACCATACAATGGTATAAGTTTGTCAGGTCCTGTGTCTGGAAACACTGTATAACACACTCTTCTTCTGCTATGCAGGAGAGTGCAAGTGAAAATTAGCATTGTAGGCAATATCACATTCTCTGTCACTGGTAATTCTGTATTTTTCCCTGATGTCTGTTTATCTCATTTCACTTTAGATGAAGTAGATGATTGCTCATAACAGCAATAACATCTGTGGTTCCAGATCATTTCACCTAACTTTTTCTCTCTTCATTAAAAAGGATAGTTAAAGTCAACATCCAAAAGACAAAGAGAGTTCTCTGTCAAACACTACAGGAAATAAGAACAAAAGAAAAATGTATTCAACTATTAATTCTTGACATTTCAAATACTTCTATTTTCATTACTATATCTTTAATTGATAGACTTTCAACAATGTTGTGATAGCAAATCAGAAACAACTTGATAGCAAACTCCGGACATGGTTAACTGAGGGTTTAAATAATGTTTTATCCTTTGTGGCATTAGGGGTATGTACAGCAACACTCTAGCAGAACCTGACAGCAACAGCTTGTTTCAGTCAGAAGAGATGGATTTCCTGCATCCTTTGAAAGTAGAGCTTTTCCAATACAGTTGCATCCATAATGAACTTTGGCATTATAGTTTGCTACTATTCCTTTATATTTCTAAAGTATTTCTAGTGTATTCTAAGTTTAATATCTACTCATTTTTAGTTTATGGAATTTATTAAAACCTTCTAATACTCCCCGACAGGCAGTTAATGATTCAATATAATGCAAATATTTGCTGTTCTGGTTTTGTTTCTAGGTTAACAGAATCAAAACTCCAAAGCAGATAGACGAGCTCATAGAAATAGAGAGTGATACAGGAACTTGGTACAGGAGGTGTTTTGTTAGAATTCGCACAGAGCTATATGGTGTAAGTAACAACATCTCTGTTTGTTCTGTAATTACCTTTCTTCTTTTTAATAAGCCTTCAGAAATGAGATGGATTGATTGAGTTCATGCTAGTGACAGCTGCAATGCTACATTTTCCATGCAACTGGGAGATTCGGGAACCAGTCTGGTTTCCTGACCCAGAAGAGGAGCAGGTGAATCACAGCGGTTGGTCCCAGCTTCTGAGGAGGAAAATGCTGCATTGGTCTTCACACAAGTGATGGCTAATAGTTACATAGCCATATTCCCGAGCACCACAGTATAATATGTACCGGGAATGTGTATCTACATATACCTATGGAAAGAGGTGACACATGATGAGATGAGAAATTATCAGCTGGAACTTGAGGCAGCCACATCACTTACAAATGGTAAAGTCATGAATAGATTTCATAAAAGAATGTCAATAAAACCTTTATAAGGCATCATATCTGCACCTATTTTTAGGCATGTTAAATATTTTACCAGAAAACTAAGTTAGAGCTATTTCAGAGAGTTTAATACAAGCTCACAGGGACTGCGCTCTGTATCCTTTTTTATTTTTTTGCAAAACCAAAATTATACGGTAACTTTGAACCTTGTAATGAAAATTTGGAAAAGTCTCATTCATTAAAAAAAAAAAAGTAAAAAAAAAGCTTTTCACGGCTGTTAAAAATCTGGCATCTTAAAGCTCTCCAGAGCTATGAAGAAATATTGTAAACCAAGGTTTGTCACAAAATTGCTTTGCTTGGAAAAATGACATTTTCCCCATGAAAAAAAAAATCCAGAAAATGTCTACTTTCATAGTTATTTTTCCAAAAATGGAGTACTTGAATATTGAAATGTTATGATTTGGCCTTGTTAGTAGACCAGCTTTAAAGGAGTTGCATCTTGGTTGTCTCACATCCTTGTTATCTCACTGGACTAGCCCCTGGGTCAGAGCACGTTCCTTATTGCACAATGTGTGCTGAAACCTCCTAGGAGAGACTGCCTCTTCTCCTCAAAAAGAGGAGATCATCTTGAGATGAGAGAGAGAGAGAGGAAAACACCATTCTTAGTCAGCTCTGCTGTAGCATCTCTGACCTAGGGGTAGTCCCAGCTTTTCCTTGTGTAGTTGAAGAACCAATTTCTGTCTGTGATAGGTTATGATAGATCAGACTCTGAGTGAGTCCCGTTGAATTCTGGAATATAGTTTGTCTAAACTTAAAGCAGTGTAATACTGGGAAGTGAGAAGAAAGCATTTCTGACAAGATTTCTGATTTATTTCATATAGTGAAATGAAGCCGCCAAGAGATTAGGAAAATCTGAAGTGATTAGAGCAGGGGGGGAATTAACAGACACAGTCCACACTGGTGGATAAAAAATTTGATTTGAACCAGCAACATGTGCTTGCAGCCCAGAAACCCAATCATATCCTGGGCTGCATAAAAAGAAGTATGGCCAGCAGGTTGAGGGAGGTGATTTTGCCCCTCTGCTCTGCTCTGCTCTGCTCTGCTCTAGTGAGACCCCACGTGGAGTCCTCAGCACAAGACAGACATGGGCTTGTTGGAGTGGGTCCAGAGGAGGGCCACAAAAATAATCAGAGGGACAGAGCACCTCTCCTGTGAGGAAAGTCTGAAAGAGTTGGAGTTGTTCAGCCTGGAGAAGAGAAGGTTCCAGGAAGAGCTTATTGCGGCCTTTCTATATATAAAGGGGACTTATAAGAAAGATGGAGAAAGACTTTTTACCAGGGCCTGTAGTGACAGCAGAAGGGATAACAACTGAAAGAGGATAGACTTAGATTGCATATTAGGAAGAAATTTTTTACAATGAGGGTGGTGAGACACTGGAACAGGTTGCCCAGAGAGGTTCTGGTTGTCCCATCCCTGGAAGTGTTCAAGGTCAGATTGCATGGGGCTTTGAGCAACCTTATCTAGTGGAACATGTCCCTGTAGTTCTACTCAGGGGGATTGGACTAGGTGATCTTTAAAGGTCCCTTCAAACCCAAACCATTCTACAATTCCATAAAAAGAAGCTAGAAAGTCACAGATCATGCACAACCTGGCTATAGCTGGAGATTAACAGACTTGTACGAGAAGTACAGCTATGACCAGTATCAAAGAGCTGATCTGCTCTCTCTGATGCCCTGAAGAAGCAAGCAAATCAGAATAAAAAATCTTCTATCCTGTAATAAAATTGTACAAAATATGATTTCAAATAAATGTATTTCCTAATGATTTACAGATTTGGTTGACATTTATGAGATGCTTCAACTACCCGGTGAAGGATAATACAATCAAACTTACAGCTGTATGGTTCACCCTGTCTTTTGGGTAAGAGTGGTTGAGATCATAAACCATTTTTGATAGACTTGACAGACAGAAGAACCATCTGCATGCAAACCTCTGTCACTATGATTATACTTGTTATTTGGAAATGTTTTATTCAGTATCTTTCCACAAAATCTTGTATTTATTGGTTAGTCTGTTCTTGGTTGCAAGCCTGACTCATCAAGAATACCTGCTTCAGAAAACTGGCATCTTCTGGGGTCAGCATCTTTCCATATTTTTATTTTATTGAGGATTTTATTATGATGGAGCATCTGCATCACATAAGTAGAGAGCTGCTCATCCTCACCTCACACAGATTTCCAAACAAGTGAGATTCGTGACTGAGACTTGTCTGTTTTTCACAGCTACTACGGCTTATCTGTCTGGTTTCCTGATGTCATTAAACATCTGCAGTCAGACGAGTACGCGTCCCGAGTGAAACATTTCCGCAATGAGGAGGTTTCACATTTCGTCTTCAACTTTACACTGGAAAATCAGATTCACAGCAATGGAGAATACATCAATGACAGGTTTAGACATTTCCTAATATCCTGACTTGGATGGAATAAACAAATGCATGTTTTAAAACATGTCTTAATAATCTAATATTTTTGTCCATTAGCTAATGATAGATGGTTTCTTTACTTATTAATGGGAAATTATTTCTGCTCTGGATTTCTTATGACTCATGGAGCATGGGGAGAAGTGGACCTGTACAAGCCCTGGTGGTTCTTGTGTTAGGATCCCCCATGCAAATCCAGCTTCCTTGTCATCCTGAAAAACAGACTGAAAAGCTTAAGTTCACGATACTTCCTTTCACAGTGGGATTCAAAGGTTTTCAGACCTAACATATGCGGCATATTGCAGGGGGCTGGGGAATAACATACTTTCATCTCCATTGCTGGTTCTTTTCTTATATGTATGAAAGACGCTTCTGTGAAAATGCTGAACATTGAGAGGTTAGGATCTTATCACAGAAAAATAAAAGCTAAACGGTACTGTAAATCAATAAAGAGTATGAACAGCTCTGAAATGGGAAACAACATGTTGGCAATGCCTTTTGTGTTTTTTAACTGAATCCAAACATATTAAGGCTCTATCTGAATTTTAGAGATAACTAGATAACTTAGGGGAAAATTAAACACAGCTGGTTTAGGTATCTGATTTCTCTTAAGAAATATACAGAACAACCATGTTGTCACCTGGACATCATGGTGCTAAGTAATTATTATTTCCATAGGAAAATCTATATCTAAGTGAACAAAATGAATGATTGTGCTAATATGGGTCTTTTAAAATTATTTTTATAAGAACTTGAGTTTTGACCAGTTGAAGATCTATGCATTGCAGGCAAAAAATAGCAGTTATCTGATATTTAAACGAGCCATAGCTTCCCAGTTCTGCTCCTTTGCAGGAGGTAGGTGTTCTAAAAGCAAAGAACCATTTCCTGTCAGTAACTGACAGCACTCTGTCAACCGAGGTCATATGAATTTGAACTGAAAATTCTTGTGAAACACTAAATCTAACATTGATCTACTCTAAAACACTGATTTACTCTTTCAAATGTGGAAATTTAATAGGTCTCTGACAGTTATTTGAGATTCATGAAACATTTTCCACAGAAGTATGAACTCATTTGATATTCTTCCTCCACAAATCTTCTAATACTCCACTCGCCCTCATTCTCAGTGTTTCCTTCATGTTCTTTCTTAACTAGAAGATCCATCAATACTTCACTTTCTACTTCATTACATTTCTGTTGGGTTTTAATATAAATCATCACAACACCAGTTTTAATATAGTCACAACATATTTCCTGTCCAAAGGTAAAAAGTGCATCAGAAGAATGTAGGACACATAGTCTGTCATTTCTGTTCCAAATGACTAATCTAATTGCTAAACTTGCTTTGTTCTTCTCTGGAATTAGGCTACATTTTAAAATGGAAAGTGTTATATGAAAAATGATAATGAGTTGACACTGAACACCAGCCTGATTTTAATCAGTCTGTCACAAATGATAAATGATATAGTAACTAAAACTAATGGGCTGAAAACATGATTCTTTTGACCAATACACAGATAGAATTCATTAGATAGTAAGTCTTTTTCTGTGATAAAAACGATTAGCTTTTGCTCTCCTTTCTCATACAGATGTGATTCCAAAACCCTTATTGATGAGAGAGTTTCATTCCTACTATTTCATAGGTAGCATATTTTGTGTGTTCCTATTCCTACTATTAGTCTTGTAATAAGAAAAATACTTAGCTAGTCACACCAGGTTTAATTAGAGCAGAGTCAGGTCTGTGTTTTGAAGGCTTTGCCATTTTAACAGTTCTCACCACCATATAACAATTAAAGCACTGCTTTTCAAACTGTTGCCACTTTGGGTGAAATCTGCCAGCAAAACTGTGCTTTTTTAGTTGTAGCTTTTTCCACACTTCCATGTGAAACAAAAGACATCCCAAAAATAATGATATATTGCTACATCTGTCTTTTTTTTTGGTTAGCATAATGATGTTGGTAGAATTGTACTAAAAAAGGCTTATAGCATTGTTTTAGTCTAGTAGCATTGAGGTAGAAAGTTACTGCTAGTAATACACTTCGTCATTGATTTTTTCTATGAATGATGACCAGGAGATAAATGAGAGATAGGAGATAGGAGAGATAGGAGATAAATGAGAGTCAATAGGAAGGAGGATGTTCAGAAATAAGAAAAGTTACTGACAATTTGTTTATACCTGTTTTATGTACACAGTAATCGCAATTGCAACCACAGACACAGGAGTAGCAAACACATAATTCCAGTTAGATATCTGGCTGTATAACTGGCAATGTAGTTGTGGTGTTCATGTTAAACCATTTCGTGAAACCATTTTTTAACACTTGGACCAGTATATCTTGCATGTGAGCCTGACATGGTGCCCAGTGTGTTCATCTGAAGAAATAAAGGTTCTTTAAAAAAATTCTTTCTTTCCAGCTTGTTGGTACCAGCAGGTGCTTGCTTGTTCCAAGAGACTGAGTTTCTGGAGCATGATGTCTCAATTTCCAAGCATAATGTCAAATTACAAGTAATAGTGATTTTACAAGGCTATTCCATGAATGTCAAGACATTGGTTTTGGTTGATTGTTAAGGACAAATAATAACAGAAATATTATCAAAGAAATTGTATTACCAGTTGTAGTTGGTGGCTATGTGGAGCTATTTGTCTTATTAATGCTTCTTCTGAACAACAGTATTCTAGAATCAGCTAATCATTAATTAGGTCTCCAGATTGCCTTTAAGGAATCGCTGTTTCTGGTGTTGAGATTTTTCAGACCTGTATAGTTGCATCAGCTTGACCTGTTGCTCTTTCTAAACTATGAAGGTAGACTGACAGAAATTATTTGTATTGGGCAGGTTTATTATGATGAAGTTTAAATCAGTAACCTTTGAAGATTCACTTTTTAAGAACTGTGTGTTTGAAGACATTACTTCACTGAACACATACTTCAGGAACTGTACCTTCCTGAATACCACCTTCTACAATACAGGTATTATGAGAAAAAACCCTG